TGTTTTGTGTGCTTTTTTTAATGATTTGATATTTATTCATTCAATGAATTTCATTGATCTTTATTCTTTGGCTAATGCAAGTGCACACACACATACACACACATGATATCGCCTTTAATTTCATCTAATACATACATAACAGGCAACATTTTCAATTAGGTAATAGAAATTGATCTCGGGTTCCGGCTGCATGAGTGAATTTCACAATATTTGTGTGCTCTCGTTCTCTCTTGATTGGAAGCAATAAAGTTATTTGCTTGATCTGAATCCAATTAAAATTTATGCTTTGTGACTAATGAATCAATCAATATGTACTAATTGTCTTGTTGTGAATGAGTCACATTGGTATTAAGTGCACAATCGGTTTTCTTATGATTTTCATCGTAGTTGATGATTGACTTTTTAACACAATCAAGCAAATCATTTATGTCTCATAATTGATAATTGATATGCATGTATTCAATGAAAATTGAATGCAATGTATGTTGCGTTATATTTTTTTTCTCGAATAGATCTTATGTATTTTTTTAATTTTTTGTCATTCATTTTTATTTGTGCCATTTCTGACAAAACGAGACATTCCATCATAATTTCCGATCAAATAAATTGTCTCTAATTTAGCAGTATTGCATCAAACCGTATCAAATTCAAAATTCAAGAAGAAGAAGAGAAAAATGACCAAGAGAATAAATCGATAGTATTTACTTTAATTGGTACATGTCTTCAAATTGTTTAAGCCTTTCCGAAAATGAAGACGTTTTCTTCTTCATTTTCTTAATGAACATTGTTTATTTCCGATGAAATCATTTTACTTAAAATATTCATATTTTGATGAATATAAGTGCTGAATACATGAACCAATTATAGTCAAGTATCATTTTCGACACGCTACTTTCATTTCATACGGTTTTAATGTAACAAAAGCTATTTATCAAAATTATTCTAATTGTGTAATAACTTCAATGTGAAAATTATCGAAAATGTCTCAATAAATCGAGTGGTCTTCGCTAGTAAAATAAATAATAAAATATAAATAAAAATGATGAAAAACATGCATTATGAAATTCACAAATTGTGTGTGAATGAAAGAAAAGGGAGAGAACGAACAAGCATTGAGTCTGTGTGTATATCGACAGCACACATTGAACAATCAAATCACTATGAAATATCTTTTCGTTCTTGCTTCGTTTTTTTTTTCTTTCACAAATAATATATTCATTATTTGTATGCTCCTATTGGCGCTTTAAATTCAAATAATTGCTCACGGAGGTGGTGCTCATTGGATTAAAATGTATTTTTCACTTGCTTTCTTATTCTCTTCACATTCGTTCATGATACAAAAAGAATACAACGAATCAACAACAGCAACTAAAAACCGAAAAGAAAGCAAACAGATTATTTAACAATTCACGCCTGATACAACGGAAAGAGAGACATAAAGAGAGAGAACAAAAAATATATGAAGAAGAACATGCGATAAATTTTTAATCAAAAATTTAGTTTGACCTTTTGAAATTGCCGTGCAGACAAGGAAAACATAATATACAATTTATTTTGAGATAGACAGAGAAAAAGTGAGAGAAAGAAAGCCCTTTCAACCGAATGGAATATGCGCTCATTTTTCGTTGCATGTGAATAATAACTGTTTTTAGAACGTTGAAAGTGTATATATATCTATTAAAATAAATCTTATGTATTTCATCGCTTTGCTTTTTGGTCTATAGAGGCAATGGTGGCGATAACGAAAAACGACTATAGCACGCTTTTCGATGTAAATTGTACATATAATAAATAAATTTAGAAAATTAAAATCCACCCCCTGAAAATGAAAAATAAAAAAAAAAGTTACAACAACACTGAAACGCATCCAAAGAAACAAATGCTCGAATCCGAAATGACGACGAACAATGGAAAATTGATATTAATACTAATTCGTTACTACAACATAGAATATCACACCGACAAAAGGAATTATATTCATTATTATTGTTGTTATTATCATCATCAAATGGTTTAGATGTCTTCATTTTTCTAATATTTGCGCGTTGGACGTCCAACAATTTTCTTCTTCGATGTTTTTAACGATTATGATTTCATTGTTTCTGTTGCTGTTATATTTTGATTGTTGTGTGTGGATATATGTATGTGAGCGTCTGTGCATTCAAACACGGTCTGCGTCACTTTTTATATAGATTTTTGTTTTAATTTGATTTTTTGTTCTCCCTTTTTTCTCGCTCTCTCTCTTTGTATTGTGAATTTAATTATGATATTTTATACGTTTACGTTCAGCACTCGTCGCCACCAAATATCCGATTACTCTATTGGCCATTGCTGTCTATCAAAGAAATTTTTAAAATGTACATAACGCAAATACACAGCGGCAATGGATGTGCACAATTAGAGAAGAAAAAAAACGTGAACCAGAATCCCCCTCTCTCGCAGAGTCAGCAACTCATCGACCGACAAGTGAGAGTGAAACCAAAAAGGACACGAACCGAAACAAACAGAATGTACGAACATAACAGAATAAAAAAATTCGACAACCTTCTGTTAAAATATTTATAAAAGTCTATATTTTACCATTCATTGTGTATTTCATATTTAAATTTTGTACGAACATCACATAACCAAATCTATTATATTGTATTTAATAAATGCGCGCTAAATGAATGAAGACGCACCGTCGATGAACAAATAGGACACCCAACAAAAAAAAAACAAAGAAAAAACGCAAATATACACCGAGAAAGAGACAGAGTTAAAAAAGGGAAAGAATGAGGGAAAGAGATACCAAGGTAGCGTCGAAGAAATGCTGGACACGTAAAACACACTGGACACTCACACATACCAAAAATATTGTAATAAATAAAAACACAAAAAAAAAAGAGTTCATCACAGAGAAAGAGTGAAAAAAAACCTAAAAGAACATAGGGAAAAAAACATTGATATATACAATGTTCAACAAAAGCCAATGTCCAAGCTTCAACCCTTTCACTTTTTTTTCGATAAACGTTCTTGCTTTGTTCGTCCTGTGTTTTTTTCTCGCTCGCATATTTAAATGTTTCGTTCGTATTAATAAAATATTAAATGTGTTATGAATGAAATAAATTAAATGAAAGGCAACAGCAGCAACGGCACACCACACACCAACCAGTCAGAGAAAAGTCATTTAACGTCAGTCTGATAAGAATAAAAAAAGAGTAAAAGTTGATATAGAAAAAAGTGTATTACAAACAAAATAAGAGAAGAATAAGTACGATAGATGAGAAGCAAAAGGCATCCATAAAAAAAGGCACCGCTGCTAAAATAAATTGCCTGAAACAAAAGAAAATGGTTTTGGTGGCGGTTTTAGTGCATGGAGGTGATTTTTTTCGTTCCGATATTGCTTTCGGCCACCATCACATTAATGTTATTCTTCATATACATTGGCAAATGTACACCTCTGACCTCTCACCACCAGCCACCTCACAGACACAGACGCGAGCCCAGACTTTAATGAGAGATGAGTGGTAGCTAACAATGATAATATATACATATAAATATGAGTACATGACGACCATAAAACCGGTTCCGATTTTTTTTTCTGCCTTCGATGTGTTGTAACATCGGTAATATTCCGACGTCGATTTTTTCCACTTACTATATTGTTGTACCTGGTTAATGGTTTAGCATTTTTTGTCTCATTTCTTCTTGCCCTTTCTTCTTATCGCTTCGTCTCACCCTATCGTTAGCTCAACCGTATTTATCTATCTTTCGGCATTTTCATAAATATTACACAATTTAATGACCATTCCTATCATGAAAGCCGGTAGTGTTGCCATTGCCATATCTTATATTCTTATTTAATAATATTATTATGAATAGATTTTTTTGTAAGCGTCGATTTTTTTTTGCAAGTATCGTTTTTTTTGCTCAGTCACTGCTTTGTTTGGGAATTTTATGGTCAGCAGTTGTTCAGTGGTTTGTCTGGCTAATGTTTATCGCATATTTTTTGCCATATTTCCTTCATTATCGTTTTTTAAGTATAAACCGTGCATGCATATGGATTAAGAAATTCACAAATTTGTCAATATATTAAAACGATTTGTACAGATTTGTCCTAGGACTTGCCTGTAATTAATGACGACGTATTGCAAAATCTATTTTTAGAATATATCTCTCCTTTCGACAATGTCAAATTATGAATTGATTAAATTTTTTGTCATTTTCAAAAAATGCCCATTGTTGTATTATACAAACCGCGCCATAAACATGGGCTGGTTTTATATTGTATATGTTGGCAACAAAAAAAAACACATTTGTGTGAAGATCCACAATACAAATAGAAAATATTTATGGGCTTGGAAATATTTGGTTTTAACTTAATTAATATGTTTGTCTGATGTGTCGAGTTCGACATTAGAGTCGTTAGCTGTTTGCCGTCCTCATCGTTGTCGTCCTCGCCATTGGTGTGAGTTTACTTTTGTTGTTCAATATTTAATTTTATTTATGTCACAAATAAATTTCGATTCGGCCGTCTTCCATTCATCATATGGTACGGCTTATGAATTTTGAACATGAACCGAACGGAGTGCTGTCATTGGTGTAGAAAGTAATTTTCATATTCTTTTATGTTATTTTATATTTAATAGAATATTTATCGAAAGACACAGTGAGAAATAGAACGTTTAACCCTTTTCGTAAGGATAACTAACCGGCTGACAGCAACTCACCCTCGTCGGTTGTTGTTTTCGTCAAATTTTTATTCATATTTCACGCAGTTGGATAGCTCTTTAATGTTTATTTATTCGTTACAATTCTTAATTATCATTTCATTTCGATGAAAAAACCTTCGACGCCTGATTTTGTATTATCAATTAAACACGCATAATATCTGCTTTGATCAAAATTTAATCCAGTCAAATATTTTCTACGAATACAAAAAGAATATATATACGTTTATCGCACATAAGCAATCCAACTTTTTTCACACTTGTATATTTTATATGGCCATTTTTTAGGCAAAAGTCATGGAAACAGCACAGACATGGCCGGGAGTTCCATCAACAAATACTTTGGCTGGTAAGTTAATTGAAAAATATTGAATGCGAAATTCGGTAACAACAACAAAACAAAAACGGTCGAAATGTGTTTTTTATCGGCAGAAAGTTATCAATATCAATTGCAATCGATGTGGCAAAAATGTTGGAGTACTAATCAAAATCTTGTGCATAATTTGCGATTTCGTGAACGTGGCCCGCTGAAATCATGGCGTCCCGAAACGATGGCCGAGGCGATTTTTAGCGTTTTAAAAGATGGTTTGTCATTGTCGCAAGCGGCACGAAAATATGACATTCCATATCCGACATTTGTTCTGTATGCAAATCGTGTTCACAATATGCTTGGTCCATCAATGGACTCAGGCTTAGATCTACGACCAAAGGGAAGAGGACGACCGCAACGCATTCTACTTGGCATCTGGCCAGATGATCATATAAAAGGTATAATATGGCCATTAGTTAATTCAAAATTAACACATTTTGATTACTCCATTCGAGCCAATGTCACTGTGCATTTATTTCATTTTAATATTTTTTGTTAAAAGGTGTCATTAAAGCCGTTGTGTTTCGTGATGCAAAAGATTTAAAGGATGATCCGAGTATTCATTTGGCAGCCGCAGCTGCTGCAGCCGCCGCATATGGCCGACATTCCGTAAGTATTTTCAAATGTTTGCTTTCACATATATATTTTTGGTTTTCATTTAGTTTATTGTTTTATGTGTGTGTGTGTGTTTCAATTGTGGTTGTTTTGTAGCCGGTTTATCCGTTTCATGACGGTGCGATTCCTGGTTTTCATTCATCTCCAAATGGTTTAATGTCATCCAGTAGCGGTGCAAATGATTCAATTCCTTCTGAAGCGGCTGTTGCAATGGCCGCTGTTATGGGACTTCGGCAACAACACTTAAATGCTGCCGTCGCTAATCAACACCATTCCGAATCCGATTTGTCAAACTTTAATCTTCGTTCAGGTACTACCACCACTGTAGACGAATGGTATATTTAAATATTTTGTTTTGGCGGCCTCACCTTGTTTTCTTCTTTTTTTATGATAAATCATAACGATTTCTTCTTTCGATTAAATTTCGAGTTCAATGTTTTAAAAATCATTTGAATGAAAATGTGACATTTTTCAAATCCAATTAGATAGCGGTGGTGTAGGTTGTTTAAAGCAACCGAAATTGGGATCACCCGCCACATCTAGTCAGCCGAACAGTCATGAAATGAATTTTCCAATGCCGCGATTAGCATCACCAGCTATACCAAATATCCATAGCATAAGCGGCTTGTCGAGCTTACATTTGATGCAACAACATAATTTGAGCGGCAACGGTGATCTCATATCAAATCGCACTCGCAATCGTAGCAACGATTCGAGAACGCCACCGCATACAGAAACATCAAAACATTGTCACACCGAATCTATGAACCGAAATGAAAAAACATCACGAAATTCAAATATTATTGAACAACAACTCAAACATTTGAATAAAACGAGCTCAAGCAGTAACAATAATAATAATAACAACAACAACACCAAGGAAACATCGGTAAGATAACAAAGAAAATCAAATATGTTTCATATATTTTTTTTTTAATTTGTACTGTAAAACTGTAAAATAAAAGAAGCTGAAATTCAATTTCAATTTTCGACAAATCATTATTTTTGGTTGATAACACACTCCGTCGGTCTCCAAAAATGATGATTGTTAGAAAAAAAAAAAAAAATTGTAAGATTGGTCGAATAGCTTTTAGAAGCTCTGAAACTAAATAATCCATGAATGGAAGCAAAAATGTTGGTTTTACGCGTAAATAGTAGATAATTTTGCTATAGAATGAACAAACGTCCTTTAACACCCATTCATAATGTCAATTCAATTTATTTAACTTGTGTCTTTAAAAAAGGAAGCAGTAAGCAGTCCGATTGGCGAAAAGCAAATAAATTTTCCAATCGTTGATTTTGATTCAGTTGGCGTTGATATTGCGATCAATGGGCTGCCATTCAAATCATCTCTGCATGGTTTTTTGACATCAACATCGCCGAACGAGGAGCCACCGTTGTTTACCGATGAACTCAACGATTTTGATGAATCGGAAGCTAGTCCGAATTCAAATACAAGAGATAAAATCAAGATGGAACCATTGACTGAATGTCGAGGTCAGTAAAAATGCGACAGCAATGCAGCTATAAAACAAAACCACCATTTTCAACAATCGTTTATTATTTAATTTTCTTGTTATTTCGTTGCTTTTGTTAATTACCATCGGTTTCTTGCTTTCAACATTCCACTCCAAATCACTGCTATTTGGCAGCTGATACCAAAATCATTTAAGTGTATTATATAATATATATAATTTCATTTTTTCGTTGTTTCAATTTGTTTTTATATTTTGTTAAGAGAATTTGGCACATATTTTTCTATTGGATATAGAGTTCACATCATAAATCATGGATGGACACAGTTCTCCAGCATTTTGGAAGTGTAAAAGCTTTGATTGTCTTTCTGTTGCTAACTGAAAAAAAAAAAAGAACTTTCTTACTAAATCCAATACTTAAAAGTATGCGCCAAATAAATCTATTATTGCTCATAGTGACGATAAGACAGAAGAAACATTATTTTTTAAAGTATTAGACAAGTAATTGCGCTTGCACGTAACTTATGATTTCACCATGTATTTAACGAAGAAAAAGAATGAAAAAAAGAGAAACAAGAAATTTTATAATTTCAACACATAACATCAAATATAAAACCAAAAAGAAAAATGACAATGGAAACGAAATGAGACACAACCCTAACCAAAAAAAAACTTGTGAAAACAAGCACGGAAAGTGTATTGTATTTTTTGAAACGTTACTGAGCCAAGGCACACGTAATGATGATAGTCTGTAAGTGGCTCGCTCGGACAAATTGAATGATTCTCGGGGAGAAATAGAGCAACAAAGAAGGGAAAAAAAACAATTGATGGAGAAACACAAAAGAAAACAAACGAAGAGGAAAACAAGAAGACAAATTTAGTTGTAAATAAATTCGAAGAAAGCGAATTTTACTTTCGTCTGTAATTGACTTCTTTGGGAAATTCGTTGTGTGGATTCACAGTAAAAGTGTTGAAAGGGAAACCGTTTATGAGAGAAACCAACCTAAAAATGAAATGTTTGGGTGACGTGAATCGTTTGGTATTTAAACATTTAAAGTGAAAACCAAAATCACCAGTTTTTTTTAATTCTTAATTTTGAATTTAAAGTGAAAAGAAATCACTTTAAATCACTTCATAATTTTTATAAATATTCTACGAATTTTAAGCAAATGTGTAGCAGATTTTGATAGTTGATCAAATCAATGCGCATATTTCTATTTTCGAAACACACAAAACGATTTTGGAATGGCGGCGGACAACAATTTCGATGTTTTTCTTTATTTAATTAGTCCAACGAAAACTAAATCAAATTTATAAACAAAAAAGTGCAACGAAAAACGGCTTTGGTATATATATAAAAAAAATTCAAGCCAAAATTAACCCTTTAGTTCCTTTGGGAATAGCGAAAACAATGTTTTCAGTTATTTTATGTTGTTTTCTTGTTTGGAATATTAAAAAAAAAAATAATCGTTTAGAAGAAAAAAAAGAAAAACATCTATTTAATTATGAAAAGGGACATTTTTTTAAAAACAATGGAAACCAAAATGCGTAAATATTTATAAAAATTATAGCTAAGAAATTTTTTCATAAAGAAGAATGAATTTAAAACGTATTTTCGGATCAAAAAAGAAATCACAAAAAAGAGAGAAAGAATATTTTTAGCAAAATTAATATGTTCGAAATTTGTAATACAAAAAAGTGCCTTTGGACAAAAACAAAAAAAAAAAACAAAAGAAGAGACAAAACCCAAACTTTCTACCTCTATTTCGATGTTTTGGAAAAAGTATTTGAAAAATACACCGACAAATTTGCGTACGCGCACACTTAATGAAAGGGCAAGTTCAAAAAAAGATGACACAAACTATGTGCTATGTTAAAAAGAAAAATTACCGATTTGCATAAACTGGTTTCACTGCATAAAAACAAGAGAATAGAAAAAATGAATCACAGAGCAACAGCAAACAAATGGCCACTATCTCGGGGAACGCTAACACGAGCCAAACTGCAAACATTCACAAAAAAAGCCAACCACAACAACAACAACCAACAACAACAAGAACAAGAGCAACAACAAGATCAACAACAACAACCATTTCCAGCAGCAACAAACACTTTCACACGTAAGTTTTAAAACGTTTTTAAAATATACACTACAAACAAAAGGAAACTGAATGAAAATGAAATGAAACACGATAAACGAAATGTCGTCAAAATATGAACAAAATTTTTACAAAATTAAGATCAATTAAAAGAAATTTATTTATTGAATAATTAAGTAAATTTACGAAATCTACTATATATGTATACATTTTTTAGGCATTTCAGATGAAAAAAAAACTAAAAAAAAAACTTTGGATAAATGTTTAGGAAAATATTTTAAACGTGCAAAATTTTATGAATGAAATGATTTAGGAGACAAAAAAAAAGTAAATTAAATAAACATCCCCTAAAAAAACATATAAACTTAGGTCATCTTTAGGCGGAAAGAAACTATACAAATTTATCGCTTATGTTTAGGTGGATTTAGATGGTTTATTCATTTTTGGCAGAAAAAAGAAGATAAATGGTTTATTTGTGTTTTACGTTGTCAATTTTCGTTTTTCGTTTAGAATAGGGTTGTGTCCAAATGTGACAGCACATTTAGGAGTCTACTTATCGAAGAAGACATATACGAGTACGCGCGCAATTTAAGGCGTACAGAATCGGAGAAAATGTGAATTAAAGTTGAAAAAAGATAAAAAAAATATAAAGAATACTTTTAAATAGCCATTTTTTTGAGAAAAATTCGAACTTAAATTGAAAATTACAGATCAGAATTCCCTGCAATAACTCTTCTCCAAATTATACATTGTTTGACTATTCAAAATGTGCATACAGTTATAAAACAAAACTCTTCATCTTCAGTGTAAATTAAATGTCGTTTCCATATTTAACCTTTGAAAATAACAAAAACCGAAATATTAAACCGATCTGATCAAGATTACGGGAAACATTTTGTGATGAGCGAAAAACTTCTTTTATTCAAAACAAATCCTCTTCAAGTTCTCATACCACTCTTTTGTATGTGTTTAAAAAAAAAACAGCTAGAAATCTGGAGAAATGGAATTTTTCATTTAGACGCCAAAAAGAACGGACTCAGAAATGGATAAAATTTGATTTACCTGTTACAGTAATGTGCGAGCAAAATTTTCCAGGGGGGGCGATTTCAAAATTTTCTTCAAACCCTAGGAAATCGAGAAATTTTTTGTTTCGGACGAAAATCCCTAGCAAATCGGAAGAGTTTTGAAGTCACAGGGGGAGTAAACCACTCCTCTCCCCCCCCCTTCACACATTACTGACCTAATATTGGACATGTAAGCCTATGGTGCATCATCTATCTAGCTATCTTGCTCACATCTTGTATATAATCGCTTCGTTATTCTTTGACGTTATTGATAGTTTCTTGATCGATGTTAATTAAGAAACTTCATTCAGATAATTGGTAATTATCAATGCATTATCATATGATAACAGATAATTAATCAAAAAAAAAGTTACCATCATTAATAAGGTCTTAAATAATTATCACAATTATGTTTTTGAATAACGAAAGTGGTCAGGTTTTGTTTGTCCAGTTCTAGTTCAGTGCCAGTCACTTAGTTACTTTTTCTCCACATGGATATTTACTGGATAGAACCATAATCCATTTTGTAGCATATGGCAGCCACTTTTGAAACTAATTCAAGTTTCGTTATATGTATCATTGGGTTAGTTTTGTCAAACAAACCCCAACTGGGACCCAATATACAGAGAGTTGAAAACGCTGCCGTTAATACTATATTAACAGTGCCTATAATGTAACTCTTTGTATGTAGATTTTAAATACAAAGAGTGGCATTGTTCACATTAGAGTTCGCAAAAAATTGTTGTGGTCACACAATCAAAATGTGTATAAATAGTAACTATTTGTAGGCACTGTTAACATAGTATTACTAAAGCGGTAGTGTTTTGAGAATAAAATAGGATATAACTCCTACGATGTTTCCCATTCTGGGTCTCCAATTGGATTGAAAGATCGCTTTAATTGAATTCTCATTCATTTCCGTGTGGCATCCTTAAAATACTTTCGAATATATCATTTTGTTTTCAACTCAACACAAACTTTAATCTCACTCACACTTTTGTACATAAAAAAAGAACGATATTGTTGATACACATACCTTTTGTATAAACTGCATACAAAACGAGACACGGTTATTTCCTTTCAAGTTCGAAATGTTATCGCCAAAGATAATTTATGTTTTTCGACTGATTCCCGTTTAAAATAATTATATATGTGACAAAACAGGAAAAAAACCAAATCAAAATTATTTGAGAAGAGAGCGCAATATTTTCCACCCATTGACGTCATCCGTCTTAATGCTTCCAAATAAAGTTCAATAAAATTCATAATCTTCATTTTGTATTTCAAAAGCTACATATGAGTTGAAAAATTAGAACAGATCAAAGAGTATAAACAGGAAATAACTAAAGCAATCAAAAAAAGATGCAATGATCAGAAAAACATGAGCGCAGAAAAAAAAACAACAACAACAACAGAAAGAAAACCAATTCAGTAAAACAACAACAATAACAGAAAGAGCATACGACATCACTATCACTAACAGATTAAACAATAAAAACGATGAATATGATGAAAATAAATATAACCAGCTGCATAAATATAGATAAACAATGCAATAAATATACAAATTACAAACAAAAACACAAGTCAGCCAATGAAATCAACATACAAAAATAAAAAAAATATCTAGTGAACGAACACACCTTCAAGCAATTGCATAGAAATGATATACAATACACAAACCGAACAGAATAGAACAACAGAAAAAAATTCATAATATCGCCGAAGAAAACGAATTAATCATAACCAAACATCAAAAGAAACAAAGAACAACAACAACACACGTGAAATAGGAATAACTTACAAATCACCTACAATAACAAGGAAGAAACAGAAGAGCTAATACGCAAAAACTGACCGAAAAACTTACCATATCGATTTGCACATCAACATCTAAACTACAAAGGAATATATTTACCGTTTGCAAAAGGGGATTTTCAACATTTCTATACAAAATTGATAGATGCAATGTTGATTGGTACCTATACGTCCCAATGAGGATACGTTCGAAGATTTTCCGTGGATTCAATAACGTAAAATCGGAGTTTTGGAAAATAAAACCTCCGAAATGTATTGAACGGCCTTAAATTTTGATATTCAAAGTTTTCGGTGTTCTTAATTTGCCAAAAAAAAAAACCTATGAAATTCTGAACCGCCGAACATTTGAGATTGACCAAAATATCAATTTTTAAGGCTCCGGAAATGGCTGTAATGCCATAGCAAAGGTAGCAATTGTAATTGTTTTCACTCAATTACCGAAAATTAATCCAAATGTGAGTATCATTTTCTGAAAATAAGTCCCCTTTACTGATTACAGCAATGCAAGTGGTAACGAAAATCGGGCAATAAATACAGAAATACACACACACACACAATATACTAATGCCGACTGCCAAGAAAAATATAGAAAAAAATAGATATCGATGAAATAGAACAATAGTTGAATGAAATGAATAAGAAATTAAAATGAATTTAAAAGTAAATAAATGCCCAGAACCGGACACAGGAACAGCATATGAATAAGAAATTGCTATCCTTTTTTCGTGGCATCTAACAATAGAAAATATGTATGGCATTTATAATCATTTACAGACCACATTCCATAATTTATTTGTAAACATCAACAAACACAGAAGCAAAAGATAAACGAAAATATACAACTACAACAAAAATCAGCTATCCAAACAACATAAACCGAACAGAAAAAAAAGGCTATAAAATATAAAATACAAACACCAAAATAATGAATAAAATATAATCGAACACATTACATTAATAATTACTCTTTACGTACTATAATAAACCTAAAGAAAATGAGCCGTCTGGTCGACCATGTCACCGGCGAGAGAGTGGGAGAAAGAGTTTATTCGATTTAGTCGCATTTATTCACAAAAAAAGAAGAAGAAAATGTCACTGCGCGCCAGCTCTTTCTCTCAATCTCCCCTTACCGTTTCTGTAAGCAGACGCCTCATATATTCATATATTGATTCATGTAATTTATAATTTATTGAAAATTATTCGTCAAACTTACGCATGATTACAGTTACTAATAAAAATGCATAACGTTTAAGGTAAAACAAAAAAAAAATAGTTTTATTCCGATCGCAAGTCTACCAATAGAACAAAACCACGTGTTTTTTTTTTTCAAATATTGTCATCGATTTGAGGCACAAAATGTGTACGGAATATAATTCCTATATACAAATAGCACAAATGCATGACAATATAATTAAACCACCATTGTCAATAGACAAATCAATCAGTTTACTGAGCATACTGTTAAGAATGAATTAAAAAAAGAAAGAAACTCAACCTATCATCATGGGCCATGAGCTCATACGGTGCTCATAATCTTAATCAATCATTTCAACTGAAATAAAACAATAATCGCTCGACAAATGAAATAATTCATTCGTTTGTCAAACGAATTGGCTCACATGTTTAATTAGAAATGAAAACTGAACTCAATCAAATATCACAATGTTTAAACATTTTTTCATTATATAAAATTGTTCAAATATCTCAAGCAACATCCGTTTTTTTTACATTACCATTATAAATAGAAAAATATCACAACTAAACACATTACACACTCTTTTTTTTTAAAGAAGAAGAATATTAAGACCCCGGTCGAAAAAGTGATGGAAGTAAACAAGTAGGAGAATATGAAAATAAAACTTTTCCGGAATTTATGAAATAGAAACTATGAAACGTACGCTCAATCAATAAACTAACCGAATTCAATTGTAGCAAAACAATACTCGATGTAATTTCATTTTAATAAAGAAAAAAATGCAAGCAAATCAATAGGCGACAAACGAATGCCATGGATAACGATTATAAAAAAAACATTATAGAAAGTATATACGCAAAACCAGTAATTTTATGTGGGAATTCAATTTTTATCCATCTCAAGTTATTCTTTGTGGTTCATCTTTGTTTATCTTTCGGTTAACACAAATAATTTTTCATTAAATATTTGTTTTCTCATACACATAACTTTTTTTTTTATAGAAATGAGAATTTTCCGCTATATTTGGTAATACATGACTATGAATTATACTTGAAGTATAAAAATAATCATGAAATTGCTAATTATTTGTGCTTTTATCTCATGTGAAAATTAAAAAAAAAAAAAAAATGTACTTGATATTTTTCTGTTGATCATGTCAATTGTGGTTCTAACGATTTTGCAAATATAAAAAGTAACCGATGAACACTGAGCAACTTGAGCAACTCGCAGCGAATTCATAAGCCTGTCAAAAGCTTCGAAAGCCCAATGACATCATCAACAGAGATATATCAAATATTCATTTGTAACCACTTTTTGTTAGAAACTTTTTTTTAAAATTGGTTTTGTGTTTTTATTCGTGAATTCCATTCCGGTAGACGTGTCAAAGAAAGATTTAATTTTAAATATGTACGTAATACAAAGTGAAAAAAAAATAAATAAAAAAAATAGCAGAGTAAAAAAAACATACACAGAAAAGAATACTTATACTTTTAATTAATGACAAATACTTACAATTCAAAATACAAACTCATTATCGATGTCACATTACACCAAACCATATGAATTCAGATTATGATAAAATAAACAAAATCTCAGAAAATACTTCAATCGAAAACGGTGCTTTTCCTTTTGATTTTCAGCTTTTCTTTCCACAGAGTGTGAATGTGCGCCCAAATACATACAAAACGAAAACCTAATAACAGTTCAACATTTAAAGGATTTTAACATTGGGTTGAAAGGTTTGTATTTCTTACCAACTTACCTATTTTGTTTTCTAAAAAATTATGGATGTGCAAATACCATTGAACAAATTTAAACGATATTTTTTTTTTCTCAATAAATTTGTGTTTATTGTTGTAAATGTGAATTCATTCGAACTTAAGATATAAGCTAGTCAACATTATTATTTCATCTCGGCATTTAATTCAATTATAAATGGATATGCAAAAAAAAGAAGAGAGGCAAACAAAATGTTCCATTTGCAGCAACTCAAATTTGATATACTTTATGTAGATGCATTTGTTTCGCTTTATAAGCTTACTTATGTGTTTATTTTATATGAATTTATAATAAATATTTTAACAAGCTCAATTCGGCTAATTGGAACCTACAAATTATTATCGACTTTGCCAACAAAACTTTGAACAACTAAAAACTCTTATTTCACTTTCTTCGTTTCACCAATAAAATCAGCGAAGAAAGTTTGATTTTTTTTAATTCAATTTATTATAGAGATGATCGATTTTTGTTTTTTATCGTATTTAATTCTAAATTATGCATTTTAATTCATTTTTTTTAATATTTTAATTTAAAAACTAAATAATTAAACTTAAGACTTAACAAATTGTAATATGCGCCAGTATATGAATATATTTGATGACTCGATGAATTTTTTTTATTATCATGAACAGTTTTTTTTTTCAAGCATATTGAAAACATTATTGGCGATTTTTTTTTTTTAAAAGCACACTACTTTAATTATATAAATTGCTTGTCATTTACAAATATAAGAGAACAAAATAATATTAATACTAAGCCACATAAAAAGTTTGGGTCTTTTTTTCAGGTTCCAAAATTAATAACAATTTATATTGTACACATTATGATATTTTATGGGAATTATTTGTTGTTTAATAACTTATACGCAGATGTGTATATTCATGTCTTTAGCTGATTTGCAATGCATCATTATTTCTATTTGGATTGGTCGTTGCTTAAGAAATTTTTTGGAAAGATGTTCTTGGAAAAATGTTGGAAATTTTATTGTTTAGTCGGATAATGCGCGTGTATAGTATTGGTTGATGCTGTAGTAAAATGTTGGTGTGTTTGAATTTATTCGGCGGTATGTTTGCTGCCACTGCGATGTGTTCGTCGGTGAATTGGATCTAAAAATGCTGCCGGCGCCCATCCTTCAGCACCATTATTGCCTGTAATTGCAATCATGAAAATGTTATTCAATTTGTTTATCTTGTTTTTTTTTTGTTTTTTTTTGTAAGAAATAATGTAAATTATGGAAAAATCTCCAATTTATAAAAAATGGGTGAGTCATTCAAAGAAAAAAAAATCAATTTTGAAGGCTGTTGCATTACTTACTTAAGTCTCGAATAAACCACCATCCGGCACATCCAATTTTCAGTAATTCAACAACATCGCCCTCTTTCATTGAGACTTCCGAATGCCCCATTGCACAGTAGTCAGCTAATGATACAAAACGATTACCCTGGAATTTAAAGATACCAATCGAAATGTTAATCGTCGTTAAAATTTATGTTCATCGACGAAAATTGCAAACATCAAAAAGCAAAAAAAAAAAAATACAATGCATATGTTAATAACAACACAAAATCCACAGAAGGTGAATGAAAAAACACAACGACAAAATTCACCGAACACGCATCATTTTCTACCAAATTCGTCTAAATTTAATCCCAAATGAACCGATTTTTTTTGCAACTGTCATTAGTTGTTTTTAGTATACAAATTTGTGGGTTAATTTTTATGCTGCGTTTCAGTGATGATTTTTTTTTAGTATTCTTTTTTTCTATTTAAATAAAACAAGCCAATCGCTTTCAAACAAACTAGAAAAAAAACAGACGCAAACGAAAGAAAACTCAAAATAAAACATTACCGTACAAATGAAATGGTAAAATGTAAAAACTGTTCATTTCAAAGATATAACAACATATAAATGTGATATGATTTTGTTTCAAAAATATTTTGTGTTTATGAATGATCGGTTTGGCGCCATATGTTTTTGTTTGTTTGTTTGTTGGTTGAGCGAGTAATTATTAGTAATAATGTAGCATGTTCTTAAAGACAGTAAACTTACATAAAATAAATCTCTATAATAAATCCAAAATCCCCCAACATTTCGAACATACACACATACACACACTTAAACATTGAACTACTGATTGATTTTTGTTTAAATTTGCTATTCGGGTCGCTGCCATCGTCCAAGCGTTTTAGATACAACCATATTTTTATTCGCAATTCCACATTATTTGTGTGCACCATTGTCATAGTTCTCTTCTTTCATCGCTACCATATGCACTTGAATAATTACTGTTAATTTGAGCATCGTTAGTTTTATTCAACATTTTATTTCATTTTTCAATTTTAATCAATCTTTGGTGATTTGCCTTAAAGATTCTTGTTTGTATACTCCATTGTTTTGTTTGAACGTGAAAAAAAAACGCGCACACAAAATTGGCCAGCTTAATATTGTATTGGAGAGAGATTGAGCAGGAGAAAGGATAAAAAAAGCTGAATTTGTTAATTTGATAATTTGTGGTTAATCTTCGACCGACACGTAAAATGTGGAATTCGATTTGTGTTGGCTATCCTCGATTATCGATGACGACAGTGATGGTAGTGCTGGAAGTGATGAACGTGATTCACTCGATTTGTTTTGTTTTTGCTGAAATGGTGCCGTAAATACGCTCCATACATCCTTTTTTTATTTCAAGATTAGATGTTATGGATGTTAGCCAAGCAAAGGTGGTTTTTTTAATTTGATTGGGTTAGGCGTACGATGATTTAGTTAGTTTGATTCGATGTTAATAGCCAAAGCCAAAGGTTTTGTTGTGATGTGTTTTTTTTTTTTGGAAATTTCAAATATATGTGAGAATGCCGAATGATGATATAAAATTTTGTATGTGTGTTTTTGTGTATATTTTATGTGTTATATGTGATGCAAATAGATGTTCGCATTAATTCGATTATAAGGAAAATGAAGAGAAAAAAAAATAAATTAAAAATGATTACTAAGAGAACAATACTAACTTAAAAAAAATAATTCCCAAAATGTAATTTCTTTTAATCATTTCTTAATCCGTTTCATTGATATGACTAGAGTATCTCTTACCGGTGCTGTGTCTTCGGCATTTGGATATTCATCTTCGCTGTTTGAATAGTCGGAACTCCATGCGCCAGCTTCATGATTATCTTGTTCGGATGATGATGAGCTAATCGGTGCAGCCGGTGTTGGTCCACTTTCATCGCTGATATTTGAGCAACGATTTGTTTCGTTGCTGTTTGTGCTATTTGTATCAACGCTCATTGCCCGTTGTGGAGCATTTGCCATACCATTTGGTGTATCCCATGAAACTGTTTGCCGTAACGGTCGGAATATATTTGCACTAAAACGATAAATGTCATTTTGATTTTCAATTTTAAGATGAAAATTTAACTTTTCAAAATTACCTGTGGCTCAAGCCATATTGCTTAATTTTTTCATCTTTCAGTTCTTCAAGTTGATTGAGTAGTACTTTCTTAATTTCGGCAACCCATTTATTTTTGATTTCAACCGTCATCGCTTGAATGGTATGCACTTCGGATCGTCCTTGTAGCCACACTTCAAACTTGCGAGCATCACCGCGCACCGATTCCGTCAATCCAATGTGTGACATTTTCACATAGTGCTTAAATTGATAAGTACTTTTGGTATGGCCAGTTTTCGTTGCTTGTTTACAGAATAGCATTGCCTTTTGATATAGAAAAATGTGACGTTGTTGCGTTTTCTGGCGTAATCGAATGTCTTTCTTTGACTCTGTCACCACTTGGAACGAATCTTGCAACAACAATTCACCTTGTTGCGTTAAATCGGCAGGAAAACCAGTTATTGCAATTTGATGCATTGAATCGTTAACACATTTCAATACGATCAGCATACAGTCAAGAGCCTTTTGCAATTCCTTAGCACATGTACCATTATCACTAAATCTAAAATTATTCGAGAATAGACAAAGAAAATTTGCAATCATTTTTGATGAATCTTCACCATTCGATGGCATGTAAATGCAATTCACGATTATTTTTTTTTCACACATACCTTAGTAAATCTTTGAGCAAAAGTTGATATTTGGTAATGCGCTGTACCGGCTTCAAGAGATAAGCGGCCAATGGCAACTTATGACCGAGCCGTTTTTGGCATTCTTGCAGAAATAGATGCGTATCGACGAGAGTTTCACGTAATCGCTCCGATCGTGGTATATTTTGGCAATAGAACGAATACAGTCGATAAAATGTATCACGCTAAAAAAAAAAATGAATTGCTTAATTAGATATAACATCTTATTAAATGTAGCGAAAACAAAACAAACAAATTGAATATAAAACATACCCGTTGAACAAAGCACAGTGCAACCAGTTCCGTGGTCGATATACAATTTTCCAAGTCTTTTAGAAACACTTCACTGTGAAATGTATACAATTCGTTCAAATTGCCAAAGAGAATATCTTCTTTTCCATGCAATCCAGGCGGAACTAGTGATGCCATTTCTTCGGAGTGAATTTGATCACGATAACCCTATAATAGAAGTCGATAAAGATCCAAAACAGGAGAGAGAGAGAGAGAGAGAGAGAAAGAGAAAAATGAACATAATAAATGAATTAATATTATAAAATAGAAATATTAAATCAGTTCTAAGTGAAATTATTATTATATTCGCTATTGATATGTGCCGTTAAATTACAACGATTTGCAATTCAAAATTCTTCAGTCATGTACAGTGTACAGAGTACAGATATGTTTGCGACCAGTGCCAATGCCAATGCAAAGAGCGTTACGTCTTATTCTGATTGCATTGAGTGCATTTCATGGTCGGTCATAATCATGGAAGAAAAGATAAAATAATAGAAAATAGAAGAATGATATTACATAAACTGACATAAAACTGGATTAAATGCGAAATGCTGTAATTGATAATCTGTGCGCCAGCAAATAAACATGCGGCTTCGTGGAATAAATTAATCAATTCACTGCATTTATTCAGTTGGCGATAGTTTATTCTCCTTCTTTTTTTTGCCTTCTTTCCATGTGCGTTTTGCTGAATGAAAATTTGCGAGTAAAAGAACGAATGATGGTGACGAACAAAAGAAAAATGGCAAAGTAAATGCTTTTCAAAAAAAAAAAAAAAAGAAGAAGAGAGAAGTTAAAATAGAAATTTACGGAAATTTACATAATTCGAACATAAAGTCGTTGATGGATGCAAGTGATTATACTCGTTATGGCGATTATAGATGCGACTTGGTGCTCGATACAGCGATTGTTGTTGCTGTTGCGGTTGACACCGTCTTCGGCTATTTGTCGGTCGCAATGTATGATTATCGTCATATGATGAGTGCAATTGATTCCGGTGATAACTAAAATCGTAATTTGAATGCTCGCTTCGGCATGGAATCTGTTGAAATGAACTATGCATACAACTGCTGCAATATATATCACAATTGGAATTATCCAGATATCGACGACCGAATAGGTCATCTCGATTGGATTGTGAACGGAATAACGATGGTAATGATCCAGTTGATGATGACATTGCGAAATCTTTACGTTTGCGACGACCAGTAGTCATGCAACCGGTACAACGATCGAATGCGGATCGACAATCAAAACTGCAACTCTTCGATAACTTAGCGTTTGTCGATTGACTGTAATGATGATGGTGATGATGATGGTGATGGTGATGATGTCGTTGATAATGGTCACGTTGTGTTTGCGATAATGACGATGGTGGTAGCGGAGCTGGAACCGACACCGACACCGGCATTGTCTGTCCAATCGATTCGTTTCGCATTCGTTCGGCGGCCAAAAAATGTTGCTTTGTCACATGGTATCGTCGTTGTACATTATCAATATACGTCTTTGGTAAGTCTAATTTTTCACATTTCATTGCAGCACTCTTTGGTATCGAACGATCAAGAATCGTACCAAATTTTGCTTGCACATATTCATCAGCCGATGTATAGCCTTTTGATTTGATGAATTTATTTATTAATTTCTTGTACTGACGCTCCGTATACTTCTTTGCCAATGTTGACGTATCAAATTTACTCCATTTACTATTGAATGTATAGTGTTCGTCTAAAAATAGTTCACAAAATCTCTTTACATCCTCGTAATGATTGTTTTGCTTTGATATTGATGGCGTGAACACACTATCACTAATCGAACGCTTGAATTCACTATTTCGTTGCATTGAATTTAATGTATTGTAACTGGAGAATTTGTCCGGTCCAAGCGTTGTGTTTGTCTTGAAATATCGCCATTCTTGTTCACGATCTTTTTCACGTTGTTTTTGCATAATTTTCGAATTGGTGCGACGATTTAAGCTGGTCGTGCTACCAATATAGGTTGGCGGTTTTCTTTGTCGACGATATGTACTCGTTTCAAGTCGATCAACCGTTTTAAAACCATCGAAACATCGATTGCCATTCAATGCATTATTTATTGAATGATGGTGGTAATGATGCGACGATGGAGGATGTTGAACACGGTTGTTATTGTTGTTATTATTATTATTATTATTATTATAACTAGTGAGACTTTCGTACAAATTGCCAGTTGACTTCCAACGATACAATTTTGTAGTGTCGGTGGCATTTTCATAGAGGCCAGCTGGCGTATTATCTTCAATCAATGATGATCGAGCTTTTAAGCGCATCGTATGTTCGGTAAAATTGGATCCGCCGTCTTCGTTTAAATAGTCCAAAATATCGTTGTAGTTTTTCTTATTCAAATAGTCTTTGAATGCTGTATCCTTGACAATGTCCTCCTAATAAATTTATAAAATCAATTCAGAATCATCCTCAGCTCTGATCATTTTTAATGATGATGGGGATTCAGTAGTTATTTTTTTCCAATGATATAAAAATATTTTTTTCTTTTCATGATTCCAAGGGGTCGAATTTGACTCTCCACTCTGAGAAAACTCAGATGTTAAAATTCAAAGTAATCAGAGCAAAATGCCATTTTAACATGGAGGTATTTTTTCACATGGTAAAATGTCATTTTACCCGCAACACATTTCTTTGCGGGTTTTAGTGCATTTTAACATGTGACAAAATATCTCCATGTTAAAATGGCATTTGCTCTGATTACTTTGAATTTTAACATCTGAGTTTTCTCAGAGCAGTTCCGGAAATTTCAAGAATATAGACCTTTTTTGTACTTTTACATTTTTTTTTTTTTGATAACTTTGAAAATATCCATGGTTGGAATCACAATAGACTCTTTTGAATAGAGTAATCTCATTGATTGGAATTGCGAACTAGGAATGAATAATAAAAATAAATACTGAATCCATGGCGTACATTTTCGATGTATTTTTGTTTTACTTACATATGAATTGGTTTCAAAATAATCTTTAAGCACTTTGAATTCGGTGTCTTCGTCCAAATATGATACCGTATCTAGAATATCTTTGAGTGAATTTGTATATCGTCGATTTAACGTACTTTTATTCACCGTATTTAAATCGATCTCTTTTTCCACATACGATCCAATTCCACTGGTATGTTCTGTGATTGCATCACAATGTTTCGATTTGGTGTTAAATTTTCGTTCAATGGTCAAAGTTTTTGTATTTGCACTTGTGTTTCGATTGACGGTCGATGTGTTACTCGGGTAATTTTTTTTTGTATTTATCGTTGCGGTGCCAGTCCCATTCGATGTTTGTTCATCACCCGTTGCCGATGTACGTAATGTACAATAAAAATTTTCACTGAGGTAATTATTTTTTCCCGAAATTGATTTCTGATTATCACTTAATTTCCGTATTGTATTACCAAACACATAAAAATTATCGCCGCGATAGTGTGATTTGGGAAAATCTTTTGGTGAAAATTTTTCATAAACCGGACGCGGAAACAAACCAACGCCGTCACGCTCAAACAAGGACGCACGAAACGATAATGGTGATTCGCTGCGTGATTTTAATCGTCGAAATGTTTCGATTTTACTTTGAAAACGATCGACAAAACTATTGGTGGTCGATTTTATTTTGCTGAAACGGAATAGATCAAATTTACGTGAGCGTTCTTTTGGTGCTGTTGTTATGTTATAATTATTCTTCGTCATTGGGTTATAATTTCCGAATTTCATTATTAAATCGAGCAGCCGTTCGTGTGGCTGCGAAACGATTTTTCGTTCGGAATTCGGTTTCTTCCTCGTTGCCCGCGATTTTTTATCGTTCGTTGTTGTTTTTGTAGCTGTTTTCTACCGTTGATTTTGTGTTCACGAATTTAAAATAGCTTTTGCAAATTTACAGAAAAATTATTACTTATAATTTATGTGTGTAGCAAAGAATCCATGTTAAACTACAAAAAAAAAACAACTTATTCCAACAAAAATTTTCGGTCAGATTATGATCATTTGCACGTTACAAGATTCGAGTCGATATTTTCCCCTTATTTTTAGTAAATGCATCGAACATTAAATTGACACAAATAGCACAAAAGAAGCAAAATCAGCGCGTCGAAAGCATAACGTAACAATTTTTTTTCTCATTCATTCTTTCGTTTTGTTGTTTATATGTTTTTAATTTTAGATTTTTTTTTCTTGCTGTTTCACAAATATTCACAAAAAAAAATCAATTGTTGGTTATTCTGTTATCGTTCTGTTTCTTTTGGCTTGTTGATCTCTTTTGCTGCTACATTTAATAGTTTTCTTCTTCTTCTTCTTTCATTTCTTTCTTTCTCGATTTAAGTCAATGCAATTGGCACAATGCGAAGCGGTATAATTATCATTGCCGACTTTATGCGGCAGAGGCGGAGACGCGCACGATTCGTAACAATTGTCACAATTAATTATTAATTTATTGCCAACGATTATTATAATCTTTCACCCAATTGTTAAGTGATCTTCTTCTTCCCTTTTTCTTTTTCTGCTTCTTTCTTATCTCTTTTGTCGTATTTCTTGTTTTTTTGGTTTTTAAATTTTGTTTCAATTTCTCTCTGCTATGTGGTTACCGCGGTGTCCAATGACTTGGTCGATGTCACACCATCGATCGCATGGTCTCATCAATGTACAGCCATTGTGTAATTTTTTGTAATCTTTTTTGAATCGTGGTAAAATATCTATATATTTTTTTTGTTTGGATCTTTTTCGCTTAAGTCACTGTGATAATTTTCACTCTATTAAAAGATTCACAAGTTGATAGTAAACATATAAAATCGTTGCCACTCGATGTAATGTAATAAGGTTGATGGTAAATTGATCAAAGTAAATGGTCAGCACGTTGCATGCAGATATGAACTTAATTAAACAAAAAATGCATCAGCTTGTGTTGTCACAAAGCGTCGATCAAAAATGTTGTTTTCACATCATCTTCATTTTGTACATGATGCAAATTGTTTGTTTTGTTTCATTTTCAATATGGCTTATGCAACTTTGAACCAATTAACCAGTCAACATGCTTATTTTGTCACCGGTTTTTGTTTTGGTAATTTTTTCGATATTATTTAACGCACAAATACACATTTCATGTCAATATTTTGGGTTGTGTTAAAAAATTGCTTGATTTTAATCGCACTGGAATTTGGTCCATCGAATTATACAATATATGGTCCAACAACAACAATAACACTTTCCGATGCACAGTCAAAACTTTCATTTCATTGAACATTGAAATATATGACACAAAATCAGATAATGATGATCTGAAAATGACTCATCGGGATTGAATCAAAGGATTTGTAAGAAATTTTCAATTGAAACATCAGCACACTGAATTAAAACTGAAATGTTAGAAATGGTTTGCCAATTATCGACGTGATCTAGCCGAGATCAATGTGGAAACTAACGTTAAAATCCCACTGAATCGGAATTGAAACAACATACTTGCCGTTAACAGAATGAGCATGCTATACGGCTATATGAACACGTCTGCATTTGTGATATGCTCGTTTTTGTTTTAGCTATTGTTGTTGCAAATGGGAGCCCCATGTGTGTGTGTGTGTGTGTGTGTTTGCAGTTGTGTGTATTTATGTGTGTGCGCGCAATCTTAATCGTCAAGTGTTTATGAAAAGTTTTTTTGCGAATCGATCGTGTTTATTATATTTCTAAAGCACATAACAAATAATTAAGCCTTCAAAATATAATATTGCTTGTTGTAGCCGAAGCAAAGCAAATGTTGTTTGGTTGCTGTGTTGAATTACTGTTGCATGGAACATAAATCGGTGTAGCGTGTGTAAAAACAAAATGCAACGGTGCAACATAAAATCATATACAAAAATATGGTATAAATATTTACGAATGTAAAATGAAATGTTTGCATTGGTGAATAAAGAAAAAGATGTAACATACACACATCTCAAACGGCATTTGTTCAACAATAGAAAGAGGTAGGAGTGTATTCGGTGATAAAACCGAAAAAAACAACAACAATTGTGTGTTTGCAATAAAAATGTAACAAATCAACAGTTGCTACCGTGTCCATTTAGCCGTGTATGAGCGATTCGACGTTTCGCATTCAATCAAATATCAATTTTTCCAATGTTTTTGGTGTGTACGAGCAGTGCTAATTTATTTTTTTCTCGTTTTTCTTTTTTTTCATTCGATTCGATACATTTATATATATTTAAAATAAAACAATATTTCTCTCCCCATTTTATTGTTCTTTTGCATTTGGTTTGTTTGCTGGCTTTCAATCGACGTGAGAGTATGTTTGCACTCAGCCTCTTCTTCTTCTTCTTAATGTTTGTAATAAATTTTGAAATTTGCCTTTTCCTGCGCAATGCTCATTGTGGATTGAGCAAATTTGAATAGAAATAAAATCAAACACTGCTTCAAATGACTTTGCAATTTTTTTTATTCCAAAAATATTGTCGATTTTTTACTGGCGATATGAAAAGCTAATCGAGGAAATACACAGGAAATATGTTTTTAGAAATCCGCATAAATAAGTAGAACGCCTGTTTCCCGCCTCAAGAGGAGGAAGCAAATCCTTCACTTTTTATATTGATATTATTCTTTGTTTGTGTCCATATCTCACATATCAAACATATCACAATCTTGAAATATGATCGGAAAAGAAACTGTTGGAATATGTTGTATTACGTGTTCAAAACTAATTATAATTCATCATATTTCGAGTTCTCGTCTTTGTTTATGTAACAAAATTGGATACCATGCGAACGGTTCCAATCAAAATCAAATTATGTGAGATTGCACTTTGCAATAAATGTTTGTTTTCATTTTACCACCTCTTGTACCGTTTGTTTATAAACGATTCGTACAAATTGTATCTAGAGATTCGAAAATCAATGAATATCATTTGAAGTTGAGTTGTTGGTTTTTTTTTCACTCGATTCTATTTTACTTTCATCAATTTTATTATTTTTTTCACTTTCTTGTGGTTACTTGAATTGAATTCATTTTAATTGAGAATACAAAAAAAAACGATTATGGTTCTGGCACTTGGCCTCGGCTACAAATAGCTTTTCTAGAAAATGTTTATCGATTTTTACATTCTCAATGTTCCTATGAGCCTTCAGAAGTTTTTCATTTTCAATTCTTGCACCAAAAATTGCAACCAAATCATAAATCAACGGGACATCATTCGTGCAGGCCAACACACACTCATTAGAAAATAATTTATAAATTCTTTCGAATTTTCTGAAACAAAGGCCAACAGTGCCGGTGAAAATCAAATCGCTTCTTTTTCTAAATGAAACAACAGCCGTTAGTTTTACGCTTGAAAAAAACACCACCTTCAATTATCATAATGTTGTAATCTTGTTGGCATGTGCGGTACGCATTCGAGTGAATGTTACTGAACGCGTGCCCATGTCCATTCAAACACATTTATGCCCAGCCATGCCAAACACACATCGTCAATTCAGTTTGGCTGATTTTCAGCTATTCGAATGTATTGCTTCATTCAAAGCCATCGGCTAGAAATCATCTTTTTTTTCTTTCTTCTTCATCTTATAAATCTATTATTTCTTGCAGTGATTCGTTTTGTTTTCATCGGGTCCAGCATTATATTCATAAGAGCATAAACTAAACAAAAATTACCCGATAAATCTAATAAAGATCTTATGCGTGGTTTTATGTGTATGGTTCAAGTATTTAACCAACCATTGGATAAGTTTGAAAAGCATACTCTTGAAATCGAACGGTAAATCAATATGAATTCATTGTCAGTCAAATGGAAAAAAAAAAGTTGGAAGAATACGATCGACGAAGAATCACATTAGCATTTCTTCATTTGTTTCTGTTGATTTTTTTTTCTTAAAGAAATATGAAAATCGCCAGCAGCAATTATTGAACGCACACTTGTAATTTACGATCGATTCTCATTTCACAAATGATATACAGAAAATAAAACAATAAAAAAAACATGGTTTCCATTTTATTTACTTTGAAATCGAAATCACGCAAATATAACAGGACCATCCTTTTCGTGAAGATTTTGATGTTAATTTTTAGTAGAAGAAAATTATTTAAATTTTTGAGCATGAATCATTTCTCAATCGCCTCCCATCGTTTTCTCTATCGACAAGATCTATCGAATGTATGCGGTAAAATGGCCGTTAAAAACACATTGTATGCTGCTGATGGTGCTATGCTATTGCATCAAGTGAAATCGAAAAGCTAGCATACTATCGCCAATTGAATACACACATAACAAAGGCAAAATCCGAATTAAAAAAAAATTGAAAAATCATAATTTATTTCTTAATCCAATTTGATTGGCGTCATTCAAATCATGAAAAATACAAAAATATTTCACTTTCTTTTAATCGTCTATCGATTAAAAGCAATTGCCGCTTGTTATTTATGTTTTGACTGAATGATGCCAGGTAAGTGAAAAGAAGATAGAAAAAAACGAAAGTTATAGATAGGTGGAGTTAAAAATCCCGATTCAATGAAACAAAAATTTGCATGCCATGTAACATGGTTTAAAAAAAAAACGAATTGCAAATCGTTTCAATGTAGAACAATAGATATCACATAAATTACTAACGGAAAATGTACTTACCCTTAGGATGGAGCCCATTTCAGCAACATATATTCGTTCGGTTTCAAGCAATTCAGCTAGAACATGGCCTCGTTTTGACTTTCTCGTTTCAATATCCTGTGTGTGGGAGAGAAAGCACCGAAAATGAAAACATTGTGTGACTTTTTTTTGTTGAAAACAATATTATTATTTTGAAACAAATGATCAATTGTTACGTACGCTTTGATTTTGGATGTGATGTTGTGATGAGTTATCACTGTCTGGACTAGATATTGTGTCTCCATTCAATGAGATACCAGAATCCATTGGACCTTCCATTGACTGTGGACGAGAGCTCGATCCATCGACCTGTGTGCATAATGAAAAAAAAAACATGAAATTTTTTATTTGATTGTATATTCGTATGCCAATCAAACTAATTGATAAATTGGTGGTGGTAATCGGTTGGTCTCTTTGTGGCACACAGATTTCTTAAAATTACAATTTTTGATTTTGATTCGAGCGTTCACCTTGCGAACTTGACATTTGTCACTTATGTCTTCTTTTCGCTTCATCACATTTATTTAATTGATAGTGTTTTCTTTTGTTTGTTTTCATTTAAAATTTACATACCAGAATTTTGCGCATTTACTATACAAAGCAGTCATAGTTGATTCGTTAATTGCACTTTTAAAGGTTTATGCTAAGCAAATAATTGTTTTCCATCCAACTAACAATTCGTTGATCATTCAATCATAATTATTTGTGTTTGCTTTCAACGCACACATAATTTGGTGTCATTGTGAAAAGAAACCATTTCCGCGTTATTTTTTCAGTTGTTGCGCATCAACAGCAAAAAAAAAACGTTCAGCCAGAGAAACTGTAATTTCATCGCTTTCGAATGAGAAATTTCCATCAAAATCGATAAAATGAATACTCGAAAAAAAATGATTTGACCATTCAATCAATGACTGAATTTCAGCCATTTGGAATATTTTCTCTCAATTGTTTGACGTTATGTTTTTTTTTTGGTAAAATTTTATTTCGGCACTGTTTAAATATTTGATGTGTTTGTTTCATTTCAAAGTGGATAGCAGTAAAGAGATCGACATGTGTGTGTGTGTGTGAAAAGATCGAAGATGAGAAAAATATTTCTCGATCAATGAAACAGTGTGTGAAAAGGTCAAAAACACGGTTACGCATAAAGAAGATGTGTTCTCAGTTAAAATAAAGCGCATCGATACGGATAAATTCTTGGAACAAAACAAGAACGATGCCTTTGAGCATGATGTTCGATTTTAATGAATATTGCTCGAAGCGACTTCGACAGGAAGTATTTTTTCTTATATATTGCATACGAACGTGATGATGGGAAACTAATCAAACAACAATAACGGTAGTATAATTCTTTGACTTTGACGGTATAAAGCGAAGACAAAGCAAAAAAAAAAAAACGAAAAACATACACGCACATCAGTTTTGGTATGTGTTTGTTTTTGGAAAAGCCCGATTTTGCACCGAAAACCATCGCAGTCATCAAATGTGTCGAATGTGTCGGATCGACCGTGGAAAATCATACAATGAAAAATAATATTTATATTAACATGTCGAACAAAATATGAACATTATTTTAATGCTAGAGTCTTGTAATTTGTTGTGAATGTGACAATGGTGCAATGTATGAGAGAAATGTCTAATTGAGTGTGTGCAACGATGCACACCCACATCCACATATTTTATTTTATTTTGAATTCATCTCGTGTATTTGCTTGACTTGCGGTTGCTTCGTTTTAACTATTGTAAAGTGACTGCGTGTACGGTAAATTAATAAACAATAACAAATAAAACGAAAGAGAGTAATATCAAAATCAAAATAGTGAGAGCGAAACAAAAAACAGAACAACATTCGACAAAAACAATGAATGGCACACCGAGTGTGTTATTGAAACCTCAAAACATACATACAACACATTCACTCGCCCCATTCGATTGTTGTTGTCTTAATAACATTTTTTCCCTTTCTTTCATTAGCGAACATTCGATGTGTGTGTGTGTCCCTTATTCCATTCATTTCAAATACATTTACACGCGATTTCTATCGAATGCCCGAGATTTTAAATGAAGACAGAACCGAACGCAAATTGAAAACAATATAGAAAAGAAGAAGTAAGTGAACGAAAAACAAAAATGCTCAAGAATGTTTAGGCACGAAAGAAGATACGCCCTTCTTGATTCAAATTTTACATGTAGAAAAGGTGTTATCGAATAATAATATTTGCAAATTCATAATACATCTATATTAATGACAATTTTACAACGAGTTTTTTTTAAGAAATGCGTCTTTACGATGGCACACTTTTGCAGTTTGTTTGCTCCTCAAAATTTCCAGCCAGACGATCAACAAGTTATTAATAGTTGCAAAATCAGTCGTATTGTTATATGTGCACGGGGAATAAGTGTGTTGTCAATTCGTTTGTGGAGAGAAAGAGGGCCATATGTGTGACAAGGACACCGATCAATTGTTTGCAACCCAGGCGCTTCATTTTTTTCTGTATTCTAAATAGCCGTGCTGCTAACATTGTTTTCTTGTACTCAAATCGAACGTATCGTATTTACATTCGACATTTTTATATTATTTCTGAAACCTGTTTTCATTTTATTACAAAAATTATTTGTTCTACATCCATTTTATTATTCCTGCTCTGCTTAACCAAACAGCAATGAATTTTAAAAAAATGGTCTCACTGTTCAAATTTTCTTTACACTGTTCCTCTTTCATTCGCTCTTTATCTATGTAACCTGAATGATTAAATGCGGAATTTGAACAAATTGACATTCAAATGTGTTGACGACTGTATTCTTTTGTATAACATATTCTATTTACCAAAAAATAATATTGATTTATCAAATTGGATTCACTTCCAGCTATCTGTTTACGAATTCAACGTTGGATCATCTCACCAGTTTTTGTTTTCATCTACTTTTGTCTTTGAAATGAATGACGAAATTTGTACACAATTAAATCGTAGAAAATATTAGTTAAATTCGTTTAAAATGTGGCATTCTCACATCAAGTCTGCGTACAGGTTCAATATAGTATTGATTGCGTTAAGGTCGTTCTTGAATATAAAAATAAAAAATAATATGGAACATTTGTTGCGATAAAAACAAAAGAAAGACAAATTATTGGATTTACGCAATTGCGAATGGCCTTTGCACTGTCAATGTGAAAACTTAAGTTTCGTGCTGTGCCTGACTCTTTAATGTCAGGCCAAGTTGTTGTTGCTGTTGTTTCTTCTTAAGTCGTTCACATACAAAAAAAAAAGTACTCTTGAGATTGTGTGAAAGTAAACTTGCATCCAAGCATGTATGCCAATTGAATAGTTTGTTATGCTGTGCCTTATTAACAAAACACAAATTATGTATACGTAATCGAAGACAAAAAGGTTGTACGACGACGCCAATTGTGGCGAGTTCATGTGAACCACTTGCACGTTAATATCAACAACTAAAATATACGCACTGTAGCCGCCTGGAATGAGATTCAATTTGATGGCGACAACAATGGCATTTTCGGTGCACTTTTTCTTTTTTTCATATTGAATTTTTCAGTTTATCAGGTTTCATTTAATTAAATTCACAGAGTGCACCGTAAAAATGACAATTGAAATGGCATCGTGTGTGTGTGGGTGTCACTGAGTGTAAGCATTTCTTTCTTTTTTTTTTCATCGGTTTTCCACATTTGCCACAATTATAACTATTCAAATGAACAAATAAATAAAAATGTGCAACGCATAATTCGCGCGCACGAGTTGGTGAACAACGAACTGGCTGAAGACAAAGAGAAAAAACAATGGATTAACTTAATTGCATTGTTTTCGTGCATTCAGCGAAAGCACACATAAATTTCCCGAAAGCGACTTTTATGTGAGAACGAAGAATTTTAATTTGAACCACTAGCTTATACCTTTTGCGGACAACTTTGCTCACGATCAACTCCATACCAAATTACAATGCACGCGAAAATCTACTGTCAACGAATTTATATAAAAGAAATACCTGAATATAGTCGTGTATTGAATGGTGAATTCATGTAAAAAAAAAACCATTGCTATTTTTGGAATTTATACTAAGACTAATTCTTGACAGTAATTAATGTGGTTCATTGATATCAATAAAAAAAACATCATTCACGGCAAGTCTTGTGATCCCGATTAAGAACTGCCATGGGTACCGTGGGCACTTTTCTTGTAAATACTGCTCTTGTACTACCGGCACTTGAAAAATCATATGGAGTGTCCGCACTTCACCCGTTCTGTCCAGGTTTGTACGCGAAATAAATTAAATACGAACCATTACTGAAGGGAAAATCAGAACCAGACATCAATGACGTACAGACGCGTCAATCATATGATTTCGATCGAATTGAAAATATCCCCACGCAGATCACATGATTCTGTGATTTCGCTTCTGATTGTCAAAAGTATTCAGTTTGAGATGATAAAGGTTAACCAGACTGTAATGTCTGCCACATTTGAAATGTTGTCAATGTCTTTTATTCCAATATTTTTGAGTTGATACTGAAAATAAATACATTATTTTGCACCTCATATTCAATGCGGCACAAGAAAAACGTGTTCTTCGCCAATCGTGAGCTTGATGGAAGTGGCAAGCTTTTTGAGGCTTGATCAACGCTTTAACTGCTGATCGATCAATTTGCGTTAATTCTCATTGCGATCTTTCTCCTCTTTTATGTTCATTCTCTTTTTTATTACCTTCCACATCGCAATTCACACTCTCTTAAAATTGCTTCTTTCTATCTAATATACACACGTAGAATTTCAATTACGTTGGTCATGTATTCAATGTAATTTCGTTTTGTATCGAAAACATATCTATTTCACGTGCAATACAAAACACTTTACGTATATGTTCACATCTCGATGTGTTCATTTTAATTTCCAAAAATTACTTTGCATGTTTCTAAAAGTTGAAATTGTTACGTTTACTATTTAGCGCTGGCTATTCGACCGCACGCATACACACGAAAAATCAATTTCAATCGGTCTTTGTATGCTGACTTAAAACGCTGCACTGTAGATCTCATTTGTGTGCTTTCTGTTTAGAGAAAGCCATAATTTCTACTCTTTTTTTTATTTCTTCATTAAACAGCTTTAATTTTTTTTTACTACCCAATGAATAATAATGAAATTTGTAAACAATTCAGATAGATCGGATATGGAACATTAGAAATATGAATAAGAAATATACACTAACCATATTGGCTGATACTGAAACGATCGGAGATAAATGGACTAAATATACGTTTGCATTACAGAAATTAGCGTTTACATTTCGTTTAGTTTCGTTTTCTATTCGATATATGCAATACAAGTTGTAGAAATTGTTTTCTTTTTTTCTTCTCTGCATTCAGTCAAAACAATAACTCTTATTAAAATATCAAAAGCACAATAACATTTCTTGATGTGGCCCATTTTAACGGAATTAAAATCATCGATTCCAATGTGTGAACGATCCTTTTTTTCAAAGGGCCAAGACAAAAAATTGCACTTTTTGGAATCGTGTGATTTCCATTCGTCGAATGGCATTCGATGTTTAATTTTACTCAATTCAAAAAAATCGCAACAAATAATGAATACAGGATCCATTCCATTGATGAGTGTCAAATGACAGAATTCTAACGGCATTTCAATTATTCGAAGGTAAAAAAAACAAGAACAAGAAAACAAATTGGGTTGCCTTGAGCAGAGCTGTTTATGTACATACATCGTTAAAACAGCTATTGCTCATGGCTTTTACGAAGAATGGTTCAATTTATTGAATTATGTTTGTTTTATTTGTCGAAACAAAAAGCCAATTCGTTAAAAATTCTAATTGATGTGATTGCTGGTCAAATTTCCAGTTTATGCTCGTTGCTAATATCTTCAGGGGATGTCTATGACCAAAGCATTAGCAAACACAGTAAGCCAATTTATTTCATGGATAATTCGCACATACTCATCATTACAAGACAATAGACCCAAACATACACGTATTGATCATAAATTACCAACACAATTCGCCTGTTGAGAGAGCATTTTTTCTTCTCGAATGTTTATTGTTTTCCACGCATGTTCTCTTGTTGGAAAAAGAAAGTTATTCATTCTTGATCATTACTCAATGGATTACATCCAAATGGATTTATACCAAACAGAAGAATGCCGCACTTTTTGCATTCCTACATTTTCACAAACAATCGATCAACCCGGTGGATATATTTAATCGAATCGTTGGATATCTTCGTTTTACGAGAGAGTGTGTGAGAGAATAATGTTAAACTTTTAAAAAAATGCCGCCATTCTAACAATATGGCCATATAATTAAATTTTGAGAAAGGAAAAAAAAACAAACCAACAAACATTCAACAATTATCATAATCCAATTACCGAACCACTTTGATCATTTTTGTCATCCAACATTGACTGACGAAAACTGTGACCAAATGACTGAAAAAAGTCTCGGCTTTCAATGGTTCGAAGTGTTAACAACATTTGAGTACATAAAAGTAGAAGATTAGCATTTAACTTGATTAAATTGATCACTCTGCGATTAATAATCGCAACAATTTGATGTCTCGAAGACAAGAACAAAAATTGTTTTGTAAATTGTTACCTCAAGGTCGTCATCATCTTCAGCATCGTTGCTGCTATTTGTACTACTCCGATTTTGTGAACACGTACACGAGTCACTGTTCGATGATCGGTTCTCATTGGAATTGGACGCTTTATCCAAATCCGATTTGCAATTGCAACACGCATGTTCATCATAATAAAAGCAATCATTCCAAAATATGGCACCGTCACAACCAAGACGACTTGGAAATAGATTCTTTAAATTTTTACCGGATGCCGTTGTCAAATCGGCTTGAGACTGTTTAAGTGATGTGGGTGTCAGCAGATTTGTGGTTGGTGTTATGCCAAAATCGACAATATTGCACTTTTCATCTGGTTCAGGTACGTCGGTTGTTGATTTTTTATCGCAAATACTTTCATTTGGCACCGAATCATAATAATCCGACACCGAATCGACCAACGATGGTGTTTCATAAATGGGTAAATTCGATGCGGTTGATCGTATAAAGATTTTCACCCGATTATCATCTTCGTTTTTACTAAATGACGACACTTTTTCCGTTGTCGATAAAACATTGTTGCATTTTTTATTTTCAATCGTACTCGTCGAATTAAAATCCAATTTTTCGACACTTTTACATTTCATCGAATTATTTAAATTTTGTTGATTTGGAATGAATTTAATTGGAATTGTTGTACCGCCATTATTAATATTTGTGCATGCGCTTGTTTCGTTGACATTTAAATGTGTTGTATTTTTTAGGTTCTTTAAATTATTTAACGTTACACCGCCATCACCATTATTCGATTCAAAATCCTTGAGAAATGCATCATGATCATCATTGAAATCTTTTCGCTTCAAATACAATTTCGATTTATTGCTGATCGTGTCAATTTTCGTAATGCTAATATTATGGCCATTTTTCAATTTGTTCAATTCATGATTCTTTTCCTTATCACTGTTGTTCGACATTGATTTTGCGTTGCACAATTTATTCGCAACATTTTCGTGACTTGAATTTGATAATGCGGCTGTTATCGATGACATTGGACAATTGATAAATGTACAATTTTTATAGCCACACGTACTTGACGAACCATTGCACGTCGCATTAAATTGGCCAAATAACGGAATACCATGTTCAATGGTCATGGATTTTGATCGAACTTTATCTAAATAGAAACTTTTATCAATTTTGTTCACCATTTCTGCATCATATTCAGCGCTATTACATTTTTGCATTCGATTTGTTTTTTTCGGTGGCAACATCGGTGGTGATCGATCTTGTTTCGTATTGCACGTTGAATCGATGGGAAATTCCAATTTTCGTCGATTTCGCATACAATTCTCATTCAAACGATTCAAATCGGAGAATTTCCCATTGGCATCGGAAAATAAATGTGATGGTGCGGATGTTTTACGTTCACTTATACCACGCAATTGTTTCGGTTTATAATCGCATAAGCATTTATTTTCAAAATCAGTGCTTAACTTTTTGATTTTTCTCGATGTGGCAGCCGTTTTATTTTCATTATTTTCATTGCATTCACTGTTCGTTCTCTGTTTGCCTTCATTACGATTTGGTAGCACAATTCGTCCACCGTCGAGCAAATCATCAGCCGATGCACGACGCGTTTCACGAAACAATTGACCGATACGTGTTAAATCGACTAACGATGAATCTCGCGTAATTTTTTTTGCAGATGTTACATTCTTCATATACTTTTGACCGCTTGCATTTCGACTTACATTTGTACCATTCAACAGTGATTTGGTTGCCTTAACGAAATTCCAACTATTTGATTTATTTTCGTAGTTGGATGGTGGTGCGGCTGGTGCCAATCGTTTAACTGACGCTTTGGCATTCATCATTGGTGTCTTTTCCGAACTATTTGCATTCGGCATAAGTACACCGTAAATTTTATTGTCGACATGCCGTTCATAGCTTTTGCTATCGAAATAGAATTGAATGTTATCGATGGAATTGCGCTTGCGGCTGTCAAACATTGAATACTTCTTTTTCGCTTTGAATATGGCATCGTCATTAGTATATTGCAGTTTTTCCGATTTAAGTGCGACCGTTGTGTCGCATGAATTGTGCTTTTTGTATACCGTATACTTGAGGGGATTTTGATGATGGCTTGATGGCATTGGCAATGGCTGTGTGGCTTTGGCTGATGATGAACTTTTCGAATTTAATGTTTTTGCTGCGGTTGCTGATGTCACCGTTGTTGCTGTTGCTGATGGTGTTGTTGTTATTTTTCCATTAAGCTCCTTGCTGTTTTCGGTGCAACCGGACAATTTAGCTAATTCACTGACTTTTAACAAACCGTCACTGTGCGATCGTTGATATTTTGGTGGTTGCCTTTGATGAATTCGCTTTTTCGCTCTCAATTGTACCACATCGCTGTCATCATTGTTTGTTGCGATCGCTGCTAAATTATTTCGACTACGTGATACATAGCTAATTTTCAGCAGTTCCATTTTTGGAATATTTTTATCCACATAATCAGCATCGACAATGTCGGACGCATTGTCCGAACACGATGTTTTTCGCGATGAATTTGACATCAATGTTGATGACATTACATTTGTTGGTGTCGGCATTTGCTTACTTCCCAATTTTAATTGATAAAGATTCGCTGACGGTGGTTGCATCATTTTTTCCGTTTATTTTTTTGCTGCTTAACTCTTTTTTCGTTTACTATGAATAACCTTAATTTGTTGGTTTTTTTATTTTTTTATGAGGAAGATCATTTCATTTCGTCGCTGGTCTCTTTGCTCTAACAATGCGAATGAATCAAATGCATACATTTATCAGCTTAGATCATTTTTAGTTGACAGTTTTTGTTTTTGACGTTCCTTTTGGTTTTCACTTTCTTCTCGACAATCTTGTTGAACTCGATCGAAATATTTCTCTTTTTAATTTGAAGAGAGAGAAAGAAATGCACATAAATTTCAGTTGATCATCAGATTTATTGAAATACGCAACCGGTTCTCGTATATATATTTTTTTTATGTCGACAATTAATGCGATATCTATCTAGAAAATTACGCCAGCAATAACAATTAAATTACAGTGTGGATGCGTGCAATACGTTTCAGTTGAAATTCACACAAGAGATAAACCCCACAAATTATTTTAGGTTTCCTATTAAAAAATGAATTTGTTAGGTTTCCTTATAAAATCGCAATATTTTAACAGGAATCCTGATAAATTGGCGCGCTTAAACGTCAAAGCCAACTTCACTGTGTTGAAACAAAACATGTTTTATTATTTAAAGGTTTCCTAATAAAATGTTGCCATATTATAAGGAAACCTTACAAATTAATATTTTAATAGGAATCCTAAAATGATTTGTCAGGTTTATTTTTTGTGTGTTCAATTAAATGCGTTTTGTTCCGATGAAATCGACGTTCAAAATCGAAAAGAATACCAAGTGTGTGCAATAAATAATTTCGATAGCATCAACGTGACCGAGAAAGTAACACAATGTTGGTTTACTTGATCGCATCAAATTGATTTTCTTTTCTTTTTTCCACAGAATCAGCGTCAATCTCAATAATGTGAAACAACATGAATTATAGAAACGTCTTTTCTTCTCAATTAATTTCAGTGCTTGTTGAAGCTTCTGGTTCTGTTCGATGTGTCTGTGTATGTGATTTGCTTTCTATCTTTTCAGCATACAAAGAATACACTCATTGATTGAACCGGACAGATAGTTTTGTAGCGCCACACTGTTTCGTTTTCTATTTCGCTATATTAGTGTATAATTATATTGTAAAACTTTGTTATCTGCTGCTTTTTTCCCAGTTTAAGCTTGCGTTTATTTGCCTGTAATTTATTTCCGGATTCAGTATAATTCAAATTCGGTGTATTACTTTCCTTTTTTGCTATGTTAACACAATTTCAGTCTTTTTTAAAACTCTGTACAACAGTTGTAATTATTCAAAATAGAAACATGATCATTCAAGACATGTGAGTCGTATGCAAGAAATGACCATTAAAAGCAAAGAGGAATTTTTTTTTGTCAAATGTCAAATATTTTTCAAATCAATTTCCATTGAAAAATTGTGTTTGATGCCTTGTGATTTGGTTGTATGTTTTTTTTTTCTCCGATGTGAATAATGATGTTTATGATGCGTATCGAATGTTGTTCAAATTGTTTAATGATAAATTGATGATTTGTACTTGGAGCTGAATCGGTGAAGTGAATAATTTGTTGGCTCTAATTTGAATGTTCATTAAACGGGGCGGTCATTTCATTCACTACGATGAAAAAAACAAATACGGCATGGATGGTTTACTGGATTGTATAATATTTTTTTTGAATCTTCAACAATCAATGCCACAGAACTTGAATAAGTTTTTACATAAATTCACTTATTGATGACGAAATGTTCGTCGTTAGCGCAATATGAAATTATTCCAAAATTGTCTATAAAATTTTCGATAGATCAATACACAATAACATATGAATTTTGCATTATTTTTCTCTCATCAGTCTCTAACACGAATTCACTAATTTATCTGTCTTTTCATGTGAAACATTTTTTTAATTATGTTCCATCGTTCGTTTATAAACTGAAAACACAATTTGCACCTGAATTCCGTAAAACGAACGTGTGTTTCTTTTCAAAATGCGACTCAATCACACAAAAATGTCAGTAAACTCAAACTTGTTTTCGTTGTATGAAATTTATAACGCACAAAAATGAAATAAAACGTTGACTTTTTTGTTGTTTCACATTCATTAAAAGAGTTGCACTTGGATAATGTGTTCTTATTATCACGATCAAATTGAACATGTGCTTGTTTATATTTTCTTTATTATTTTCTTTTTTCTCTGTTTTGTGTCCACTTTGCGTCGATTGCAAAATCTGCGATTTTGCATTGTCCAAGATTCGATTTTAGCAGTATGATGTAAATGTCATTACACACATGTTGCGCGATCAAAAAAAAAAGTTCAATCGAGTACGTTCTATGAATATCGTTCTTTGTTCGTTAAATTCGATTGTTTAGTTTTTGTCACATCATTTCATCCTTTGATCACATTTTCCATTAGCACTTCCAATAAACACAGTGAAAATTGTTATGCATTGTTTATTTAACACAGTTCATTGATCACATTCAGAATCTCTTGTTCGCTCAGCCAAATAATTGGAAGTTGCACGGCAGGTGACAGTGAAAAAAAAATTATATAGCCACAGCACACTGGTGCGAGGAAGAGAATCAATTAACATTCGATTCGTCGCTCTTTGGACCAAAAACAGACTTTGATTCATGAATATATTAACAACGGCATCAAGCATAAAACTTCATCGATAACGGCCGCGTACACAAATCAAATTTCTTTTAAACTAAATTTTTTTTGTTCAAAAAGAAAATGTTCAAATTCTTCACGACATCACGATACACGCGCGCACATTTTTCTGCATTCAATTATAACAATTGTGCGACAAAATGTTCAGTTACTTCAAACCTTTGTTTATCGTTTTCTTTCATTTTGGCAAAAGTTGAGCGTGTGTATGTTTTTCTTTATGTCACAAACAAGAGAAAAAAAAACAAAATTGTATTTTCAATACACGAATGGTCGGTCATCCGACTGACTTTTTAAAAAACTTTGACCGTTGTTACTGTTTTTCTTTTTTTTTTCTCGTTTCTCGTCAAAATACCGAATAAACGTTACGTTCTCACTACAAAACACTTTTCAAACTTTTTTTTTTGTTTTTCGGTTCAGATCGGTTCAAGTTCTGACTCGGAAGGAAATGAAACAAATGAGAAATTACTGTCTTAATCGTTCAATGTACGTTAAGTATTTGAGGAAAAATAACATCGAGTATACGATCGTGGCTAATGTACAGATAGACAGAGAGTGTCATACAAAACGCGTCTTGTTCGTATGAGCACAGTTTATTCACTAAATTGTTGTATTGCTGCGCAAACGACACCAGTATCTACCTGTTGCTTGTTCAAACTCTTTTCCTTTCTCTTTACGTTTCATCGTGTCTTTCTCATTGCATTACGAATCGCCGAACTTAATGTCTGCTTCACTGGTGTACGTGATTATTTATATATATATGTGTGTGTAGAAGTGTATGTATGTATTGTAAAAGTGTTTTATTTAGCTTTTGCCAAACAACAACACTATGTGTATTGCGCTGTTACTCAATGTGAGAGTATCTTGCAATTTGCTATCGCACGCTTTTTGCCGTTGATGTTTTCTGTTGCACAAACATGCATAATAACACAGCAGCAGCAACAACAACAACAACAACAATAACAACAACAAAAAATACCAGAAGAAGAAATAATGATGAGCAACGGCAACCGGCAGCGGCACCAACATCATCATAAGACAATTCTGTGCTAAAGAGTTCGAGCGTTAGGCACCGTATTTAACACACTTTGAGTGCGTTTTTTCTCTCTTCGTTTTTTCTTCTTTGGACGTTGCGCGCGCGCATTTGCCATATTAAAAACGTTCAGAACGTTTTTCTTAATTGATTTAAATAGATTATGACTATTCTGGGTGAGTTTCAGTGATGATGAAACGTGTTTTTTGAGGTGACAAAACGGTCTCATTGGTTAAAGGTGTCAAAGTCACTACCGGCCAACGAAATCCATTGGCCAATATTTGCGGGCAGTCTTCAAATTGAGTTAAAATTGCAGAAATTTCATAATCGATATCCAAAACAAACATCATTACAACGTGTTTTAATTGACTAATTGATTAGCAGCTGTCTTATTACAAATTCAATGGAAAATAAAAATATCACGCGCACGTTCATGAGATTACAAACCGGTGAATGCAAAAATTCCAAACAAAATCATAATAAAAAAAAAATAAAAATAACTTATTCTTACAATCGTTTGTTGTGCGCTTCTGCTCTAATTATCACCGAAAACAAACTGCTTTTTATTGTAAAATATTTGGCCTCGTTGTCTGTTGTTGACTGTTGAATTCTGATTCGCTCAGCTATTCATTGAATTTTTCAAGCATGCTTTATGTATTCCAAGCCCCCCGAAAAAATGCATGCAAAAAAGATTTCGTCGCAAATTTAATCAAAGAGAAACGCACCAAAATCACATCAAATTTAGAATCAATAAATGTTATCAACAACAGCGCTCTATTTCATTTTCACCATCATCCGCTACAATTTCTAATTTGAATATTTATTACAATCAATTCTGTTTTAACAGTGTTCACTTTTACTGTTATATCTATTTTAATTGGTATTTCGGTTGACGACTTTGATTTTTTTCTGTCAGCAAATCGATTCGAATGAACTAGATTGATAACGAATGGACGATTTCTCAGGAAAAGAAAAATGTTCTTAACTTTAAAGAATTTCATTGTTCTTGGACCATTTGCTCTGTCAAAATACAAATAAAAAAACATCATCAATCTCCATTGCTGTATTTGATTTCCATCGAAAGTCGTCGTTCGAAACAAAGAGTAAAGATCGTTCAAGTAGAGGATAATATTTATTTTAAGATGTTGTTTTGCTTGGAGACTTGGATATTCTAGTGTGCGCGATGCAATTGCGTAAATTGTGATTTATTGACCGTTTCAAACTATTTATTTTTGAGATCGAACATCACATTACCTTCGATGACTTTCTCGTTCTTCTTCTTTGCCATCGTTGTTTTGTTTTACGTAAAACATTTGACTTGCTCAGGTTGGATGCATTTAGAGGTCTTACACGCATTTGTGATTTGTTTTTACAAAAACAACAACTGGCTTGAGTTCATTGAAACCAAAAAGAATGCAAACAATTAGTATGTATCGTTACATTTGATTTTCCGTAAATATGACCAAACTTGACGCTTGAATCGCATTCAACACGGAAAATGTTTCGAATGCAATGGTTTAGAGTTGTTACTTTCAGTTTGGAATGTTTGTTTTTATGATTTACCAACGATTTTGGCAAAGAGTTCTTTGAACGCAACACAAATTTACATGCCAACAATTTGTTGTTCGTACAAATTTTGTCCGAAAATTGTTTGATTCCATCAAGTTGTATTAAAAACACTTCATTTATATCAAAGTTCTATACGTAAATCCATAAATCACCGACTAAGAGAATCTCTTTCCATCTCAATACCATTTTGTGCATTGTGTTCGGTCAATTTCATAGTTAAACCTCGTATTTTATATATTTCCATTGAACTGTCCGTATTATAACCAGTATTTAATATTGAATGTATTCCACATGCAATACACAATTATTGAACATGAGAACATTTTAATAGTGTACATATCTTGGAAGTGCAACAGAACCGAAAGTTTTTTTTCGTTCATAGTCTTGAAAATGAGATGAGTGTGCCATTATGTGAAAAAAAATTCAACAGAAATATCGATTACTGCTGGTTCAATCAGCTTATTTTAAAATAGAGTGATTTTTCTTATTCAATTGTGTTCATATTCTGCCTCCAACTTATCAAAAGAAGTGAATAGAACGAAGACGGAGCAACGGTGTGATATGTGCCTTTTTTGTTTGAATATTGTGTTTTTTCTTCTCTTTTATATTTCTTAAGAAACGATTTAAGAAACATTATTGTCTATATATTGTGAGTTGAATCAACATATACAGCGAGACAGTTCACAGCTATTCAAGATAACTTCACACTGTAAGCGTAATGCGATTGCCGACCCATACACCATTATTTACTGGAAACTGCAATGGATCGCTTGTGCATTGTTATAGACATGTGTAACATGGTATTGTTGCGATTATAAATTTTCATATTATCATTTCTTCTATTCGATGTCTTAACACTTAACTATAGTTCAGACGGCTTTAATTTACCTGTATTTTGTGCTCGTTTTAATGTCTTCACCCTTTGCTTATTTTTTAAATCACACACACAGAGAGAACACAGCAGAAATGCACATTCGAAAAAGATGAAAGAAACAATCAAGTATTGTACGGAAAAAATGAATCAACCAAGAGGTCTGAAAACCGGCCACGTGAATTATGATTTTAGTAATGAACAATAAAGCTCATCAAACGTAAAATATGATTCACAATTAGGGTGGAGCGATTTATATATTTTCATAAAATGTGGTATGTGATAGAGGACATCAATTCTACGACTTTGACACAAGATGAACCATCGTATTAAAGACGATATTAATTGTTTTCTTACATTCTCATAGATTCAAAAATGATTAGTGATTTTTTTCTTTAAAAATATTGTCCAGTACTCTTTCTATGGGCTCGGTTTGTTATGAAAGTTATCGAAAATGTCATAACTCGTCATTGAAAAAAACAACAACGTTGTCTGGATTATGAAATGAAACTTGTAAGAATCTTAAAAAATATAATACGATAACCCAATGACAGTTAACGCTCTATAATTGAACGCTCTAGAATAAAAACAACGTACAGAATGGTTGTTATATCAAAGCGGAACACAGCGTTTGTTGTAATACAACAACAATTCTATATAAAAAAACGCCGTGTTCCGCTTTGATATAACAACCATTCTGTACGTTGTTTTTATTCTAGAGCGTTCAATTATCTTTAGTTCTGCTCAGAAAATAATTTTAGATCAAAACAGTCTATGTTTTATGTAGTGATTTTCATAAAAATTGTTAATTTTTGGTATGAAATCGAAAGTCTTGTACAAAAATGTATCCAAAACATCCTAAAACAAAAGTTATTTATATCGATGTCCTCTATCGTAAACTGCATGTTCCCGTTGTATTCCAGAATAGAGAAATCGATCCACCCTATTCATAACGCCTCATTTCACATGCTATCGTTTGTTGTCCATTTGCTGTTGTCGCTCATAAATTGAGCTTCAATAAAAATAAGCGAGCAACAGCATTTTTAGAATAACTTGTGTATTGTTTCAAATAAAAAAAAAATCGAAAAAATATTATACATTGCTACAGTTTTTTTTGTGAAAGACATTTGCTTATTTAACACAATATTTGTTGGATCGCAAAGCGTTTACATATTTCACACCAACTACAAATTGGAGTACCGGATTGAACACCAAATGTACATATTTTTTATATACAAAATACAATGTATTTACACAGAGAAAAATGGAGCACACATTTAATTACGAGTATGCAAATTTAATATTAAAATGGTCCCTTTTTACGGTAGATTTTAATATTTTTCATTGAAGAAATTTTAATCTTGGCCCATAAATTTGAGGCCCGATTTTTTTTCTGTGTAAATTGCAACTTTAGCGCTTGGAATTTCGATTCTCGACATACGTAATCAAACGTATTTTGTATGATGGCGAAAAAAAAACCTGAAACAATTGAATGGCGAATGAAACGTTAATAAAAAAAACTGCATCGAACACAGTCACAAATCGAATTAACAAATTAGATTCAAATCGTAGTGAAATCCAACTTTCCGAACATTTTGCCACTTTTATTGTGATTGTTTGTTTACATCGAATCGAGCTTCGTTCGCATTTAATCGGTGGAACAATATTTTGCTGATTTAATAAATTGAGTACAAGCCATAGAGAGAGAGAGAGCTTGATTTTCGGTAGGCACTGGTTGGTTTGTTTTGTTTTATTTTCCTTCATCATTTAAATGCCTTAGTTTTTCGGCACTTCAAATCGAAATAGAGCACAGTGTGTGCGTGCTCATTTTCAGGTTAAGTAATTAAAAAAATGAAAAGAAAAACAGCACATAAAAAACACAACCGAACAAAAAAACCAAGTACCGAAAAAAATGTAAAGCAGAGAGAAATAATAAGCACGCGTACGCATACACACACACAAACACAACAAATGATCATCATGAATTATTATTATCAATAAATTAGATCATTTTTCTACATTGACTGTCAGAGTCAATGAGATATCTTATACTGATTACTTTGTGTGAGATTTTGGCCATTCATTCACTTTTTATTATTATTGTGCAAAAGCG